TATGACCAATCAGAAAAATACAGAAGCTTCAATCCGAAATCTTGAAACACAGGTTGGACAGTTGGCTAAACAACTATCAGATCAACATGTAGGTCATTTTTCAAACACCCAAACTAATCCCAAGGAACATTGTAAATCAATTACTACTAGGAGTGGTAAAATTGTGGGAAGAGGGATCAAAGAAAATCTAGTTGTGGAGGAGGAAGTTTTGGAGAAAAAAGAAAATGAGAAAGAGAAAAATGAGTGTGAGGGAGAGGAAGATAAAAATAAAAGTGAGTATGTGAATAAAAGAGAAGAAAAAGAATAAATAAATAGAAATAAAGAGAAAAAGAGGAAGAAAGGTGAGAAACAGGTACCACAATTGAAGAACCTATCTTACCCTCAGAACTCGTCCAGAAGGGATAAGGAAAAGCAGTTTAAGGTTCATGGATATTTTCAACCGACTGTAGATTAATATTCCTTTTATGGAAGCTATGGAGTAGATGCCAACCTATGCAAAACTTATGAAAGAGCTCCTGACAAAGAAAAGAAGATTTTCTGAAGAAACAATGGAGCTTGAAGCAGGCTGCAATGCTATAATCCAAAAATCATTACCTCAAAAGTCCAAGGACCCTGGAAGTTTCACCATTCCAGTCACAATCGGGACATTGCCAGTAGGTAAAGGATTACTTGACTTGGGTGCCAGTATAAATTTGATGCCTTTGTCCATACTAAAAAGAATATGGGATTTGGAAGTAAGGCCTACACAGATGACATTACAGTTAGCTGATAGATCCATGAAATATCTCTATGGTGTGGCAGAGGATGTCTTGGTTAAAGTTGATAAATTCATGTTCCCAGTTGACTTTGTGGTGATGGATATTGAGGAAGATGTTGAAGTTCCTTTGATACTGGGAAGACCTTTTATGAAGACTGCTAAGGTCATTATTGATGTTGATGATGGAAAACTAAAGGTCAGAGTGCAGGATGATGAAGTCAACTTTAATGTTTTTGAAGCAATCCAACACCCTAAAGACAAACAACAGTGTTTCAAAATGGATGTGGTAGATGAAATTTGTTTATCATCCAAGAAATAATTGACAAAAGCAAGTCCATTGAAGAAAGTTTTAATTGGTGTTTGTGATGAGTTGGAAAAAGAAGATGAGATGAAAGTTGATGAATATTTGATACACTTGAATTCAACAAAAGCAATTGCATTGAATGAAATACAATATGAGAAATTGCAGTAAGAAAAGAAAACTGAAAGTCAAAAGCTGGATGACGCACTATGGCATATAGAGCTGCTTATAAGTCTCCTACTGGTTTATCCCCATTTCAGCTGGTATATGGTAAGTCATGTCACCTACCAGTCGAGTTGGAGCACAAGGAATTCTAGGCCTTGAAATTTTTAAATTTTGATTCAAAGGCAGCAAGAGAGAAAAGAAGATTACAATTGCAGGAATTTGAAGAAATGAGATTCAATGCTTATGAATCCTCTAAGCTCTACAAGGAAAGGATGAAAGCTTATCATGACAAGAAAATTTTCAAGAGAGAACTCTACCCAGGCCAATCAATGTTACGGTTCAATCCCAGGTTAAGGTTATTTCCTGGAAAACTCAAATCAAAATGCTGAGGACTGTTTCTTGTCAAGGTTGTCAAACCTTATGGAGCTATTGAGTTAGAGGATCTTGAAACCAAAAGAAGTTGGGTTGTAAATGGGCAAAGATTGAAGCCCTCCTTGGTTGGTGAGATTGATAGACTTGCCACAATCATCCAATTGGACAAAACATAATGATATAGGCGTCAGGCTCGTGACGTTAAACAATCGCTTTCTGGGAGGCAACCCAATGTTTAATTATGTTTTCACATTTGAATTTTATCTTGTGTGTTAATTGTGTTTGTGTGTATATTATGTGTTTGTATGCAAAAGGGTGAGGTTTAACATTTAAATGTCTCAATAGGGCAAACCATGCATGCCTAAGTGCTTTTTGTACAAAAATGTTTGTGTCATGCATGATAATAAGTTTTGTTGCCAAAATTGAGTTCATTGAATGTTAAAAATTGCCTTGTTTTGGCCAAATTGTGAAATTTGAGTTTGGANATATATCATTACAAAAGTAAATTAACATAATTTAGTTGACACTAATGGATTCCTCAAAGAACCTCTTTGTAGTCATTTTACAGCTTATATCGAACAAACTTGATGAATAAAAAAGCAGCGGAAGAAATTAGGAATTTTTGTGAATTGGAAATAAAATCAATGAAGGTATGGTGAGCAAACGAAATCTCAACACATCTAACCAATGAAGGAGGCTAGAGGAGATGAGAAGAGCTATTTGAGCAAAGTGATTTTCGAGCAAAGCAAGGCTATTTTTTAAAGTTATCTCATCCGGCTTTGTGAATATATTTCTTTTTATTTATTTAGTTTATTTAGTTTCTCTTTTGTACTAATCCTTGCTTGAGATGTTTTGATTTATGTTCTTAAGATGTCAGGTTTCTAAAGATCAATTAGCATTTGACCAAGAGATAGAAAAAACTACTAGAAGAAATAGAGGCAAAAATAAGAAGAAGCAAGGAAAAACAAAGGAAAAATCTTCCAATACTTTCATCACACATCTGGAAACAGAATATGGCGGAAGAAAGACCAACCCCACCTAGAAGAACACTAGAAAACTATGCTATGCAACAAGGGCCAAGATATTTTTCTAGCATAGTAATACCGCCCACCACTAAAACATTGGAGATGAAGCCAACTTTCCTTAGCCTAATCAGTTCTCATCAATTCACTGGAATGGATAATGAAGATCCATATATTATCTTTCCACGTTCTATGAATTGATAGGAACTATGAGATTTGAAGAAAGAGATTTTGACCATGTATATATGCGTTTGTTTCCTTTTTCTTTGACAGGAAAAGCAAAGGAATGACTTAAATCACATCCAAACCAAAGTCTGAACAAGTGGAGTGATGTAGAAGATAAATTCTTGAATAGATTCTTTCCACCTTCTCGTTACATTAAGGCAAAAGCTGAGATTTCTACTTTTAGGCAAGGACCAGATGAGCCATTCTGTGAAGCTTGGGACGATTTAATTCTTTATTGAGGAGATCCCCAAATCATGGGTTTGAAGATATTGCTCAACTAAATATTTTCTACAATGGTCTGAGGCCAGACACCAAAATGATATTATATGCAGCAGCTGGAGGAACAATGATGTCTGTAGATGCAGAACAAGCAACAAGAATCATTGAGGCATTAACATCTACATACCATCAAGCTCAACATAATAGACGAACAATTCAACGAAAAGGAATGCTTGATCTCAGTACTATAGATGCAATTTTAGCTCAGAATAAAATTCTGACTCAACAGATGGAAGCATTAACCAAACAGATGGCTAATCTACCTAAGCAATTAAAAGCAGTACAATCTTCTCGTAGTCAACAACCCATGAGATGTAACTTCTGTAGAGGTGACCATCCCAATGGTCATTGTTCATATCAAAGTGGCCCACAAGAAGGAGAAGTTCAATATGTGAGTAATCAAGGAACAAAATCAAAGTTAGAATAACTTTACACACGGGTGGAGAAACAATCAAAGTCAAAAGTTTGGATGGAAACAAGATGTTGGTCCTTCAAATAGACAACCTCCTTATCAACATCAACAACAAAATCCATCTATGTATGAAAGAATAACCAAATTGGAGGATACTCTTGAAAAATTCATGCAAGCCTCTATGACCAATCAGAAAAATACAGAAGCTTCAATCCGAAATCTTGAAACACAGGTTGGACAGTTGGCTAAACAACTATCAGATCAACATGTAGGTCATTTTTCAAACACCCAAACTAATCCCAAGGAACATTGTAAATCAATTACTACTAGGAGTGGTAAAATTGTGGGAAGAGGGATCAAAGAAAATCTAGTTGTGGAGGAGGAAGTTTTGGAGAAAAAAGAAAATGAGAAAGAGAAAAATGAGTGTGAGGGAGAGGAAGATAAAAATAAAAGTGAGTATGTGAATAAAAGAGAAGAAAAAGAATAAATAAATAGAAATAAAGAGAAAAAGAGGAAGAAAGGTGAGAAACAGGTACCACAATTGAAGAACCTACCTTACCCTCAGAACTCGTCCAGAAGGGATAAGGAAAAGCAGTTTAAGGTTCATGGATATTTTCAACCGACTGTAGATTAATATTCCTTTTATGGAAGCTATGGAGTAGATGCCAACCTATGCAAAACTTATGAAAGAGCTCCTGACAAAGAAAAGAAGATTTTCTGAAGAAACAATGGAGCTTGAAGCAGGCTGCAATGCTATAATCCAAAAATCATTACCTCAAAAGTCCAAGGACCCTGGAAGTTTCACCATTCCAGTCACAATCGGGACATTGCCAGTAGGTAAAGGATTACTTGACTTGGGTGCCAGTATAAATTTGATGCCTTTGTCCATACTAAAAAGAATATGGGATTTGGAAGTAAGGCCTACACAGATGACATTACAGTTAGCTGATAGATCCATGAAATATCCCTATGGTGTGGCAGAGGATGTCTTGGTTAAAGTTGATAAATTCATGTTCCCAGTTGACTTTGTGGTGATGGATATTGAGGAAGATGTTGAAGTTCCTATAATACTGGGAAGACCTTTTATGAAGACTGCTAAGGTCATTATTGATGTTGATGATGGAAAACTAAAGGTCAGAGTGCAGGATGATGAAGTCAACTTTAATGTTTTTGAAGCAATCCAACACCCTAAAGACAAACAACAGTGTTTCAAAATGGATGTGGTAGATGAAATTTGTTTATCAACCAAGAAATAATTGACAAAAGCAAGTCCATTGAAGAAAGTTTTAATTGGTGTTTGTGATGAGTTGGAAAAAGAAGATGAGATGAAAGTTGATGAATATTTGATACACTTGAATTCAACAAAAGCAATTGCATTGAATGAAATACAATATGAGAAATTGCAGTAAGAAAAGAAAACTGAAAGTCAAAAGCTGGATGACGCACTATGGCATATAGAGCTGCTTATAAGTCTCCTACTGGTTTATCCCCATTTCAGCTGGTATATGGTAAGTCATGTCACCTACCAGTCGAGTTGGAGCACAAGGAATTCTAGGCCTTGAAATTTTTAAATTTTGATTCAAAGGCAGCAAGAGAGAAAAGAAGATTACAATTGCAGGAATTTGAAGAAATGAGATTCAATGCTTATGAATCCTCTAAGCTCTACAAGGAAAGGATGAAAGCTTATCATGACAAGAAAATTTTCAAGAGAGAACTCTACCCAGGCCAATCAATGTTACGGTTCAATCCCAGGTTAAGGTTATTTCCTGGAAAACTCAAATCAAAATGCTGAGGACTGTTTCTTGTCAAGGTTGTCAAACCTTATGGAGCTATTGAGTTAGAGGATCTTGAAACCAAAAGAAGTTGGGTTGTAAATGGGCAAAGATTGAAGCCCTCCTTGGTTGGTGAGATTGATAGACTTGCCACAATCATCCAATTGGACAAAACATAATGATATAGGCGTCAGGCTCGTGACGTTAAACAATCGCTTTCTGGGAGGCAACCCAATGTTTAATTATGTTTTCACATTTGAATTTTATCTTGTGTGTTAATTGTGTTTGTGTGTATATTATGTGTTTGTATGCAAAAGGGTGAGGTTTAACATTTAAATGTCTCAATAGGGCAAACCATGCATGCCTAAGTGCTTTTTGTACAAAAATGTTTGTGTCATGCATGATAATAAGTTTTGTTGCCAAAATTGAGTTCATTGAATGTTAAAAATTGCCTTGTTTTGGCCAAATTGTGAAATTTGAGTTTGGAGTTTGGAGTTTGATTTTGCATTTGATTATGTGAAACTTCTGGAAATGATAGATAATTGGTTGAGGAATAGATTTATATGTGTCTCTGGATTAGTTAGATTGAATTCATCATGAATTGGGTGAGTAAAGGTTGAAAATTTTCAAAAGTGGCAAAAACTACATTATTTTCGCCTAAGCTAAACCTTCTCGCCTGGGCTAGATATGTAGAAAACTGAAACACAAGTTTTTACTGATAATTGTACTTATGCGAAAGAAGACTTGCCTAGGCGAGAATTGAGTTTCAAA